TTATACAGACAGAAACAGTATTACACTTTTCGTAATCCAAATGATCTAGTCTTTATTGGTGTAGGCCAAACAGTGCGGGCGAATTAGCAGTTAAAAGCTTTCTAAAGTTACTGTAGCTGCCTAAGCTCTCTTGGACGACGTAGTGGTGGTGTAATTGTCACACGTTGCTGTGAATAGTCTCAAACGCAGTTTCCGGTCAGTTAATTGCGGGATATAACCCAAATGGACGTGTAGTCGCATAAAGCTCAGGAATGTCAGGCTATAGCTTGAATTGGGAGCAGGTAAGAAAACAAGCTCATGCCGTTAATCCATTTGAGTCCTAGAATCGCCGAAAAGTACAATGTTACATTTCGGCTGCTTTTAACCCTCTTATTCACTAACTACTTTTTTACTCTTGCGAATAACTGGCTTGAAATCCTCCAATATGAGCGAAAACTAAACTTAAAGCCGCTGAAACAATACGAAGTATAACCGCCGCTTAAAATTCTCTTGAATTTGATTAACTATGAGGTATGTTTTATAAAGTGATTCCTTAACTATTCCCCACTGCGCTGGTTTTTTTCGCAGCTACCGACGAAATTAAGGGACAATTAGGGGTGCGTGTGGCGCAGTGCTCGGAGGCGCCTTACGACACACACATAGGATCGATCCTAGCGCCCGTGGTTCACCAACCCTTCCATCCCTCCGGGGTCGGCAAATTGATATCAGACTTGTCTGGGAGGATAGCAGCACTGGCTCGATACATCGGTAGGCCATCGCGAGTCATTGTAAAGGTCAGATATGCATCCTATCACCTCCAACGATTCTTAATGAAGTCGAACGCATGGCGCATCCCTCAAGGATTTATCGACGCCGATAGCTTTAGCTTCTACCGACGAAATTGGTTTCAAGTTTGAAATAGAAGCTTGGACGAAGAAAAACAGTGTAAAAACATTCACAACTCCTAGGTAGTCAAAACTTCGTCTTGGAAAAGTAATAAAACATATACTAAGCTAGTGAAATCTGAAATTCGATCAAAGTTTGCCCAAACTAATAAATTTTGCTATGAAATGACAGTTGTTGGTATAACACTGAAACTAGCCACGACTTTAGCAACCTATGAGTCATATGCGATTCATCGCTAGTGAACGCGTTGAGTTTCGAATCTCAAATAACATGCATGTAAAAAAACGAACGCAAAATCAAAAGCATGAAGTTTCTGGCTAGTCGAAGATAGTTGTAGAGCTCCTCTTGATGAGAGTTACTATTTGCGCAAGGTCTAAAGGTAGAGCAAGAAATAAACAAAGCGCCACAAAACAAATTTTAGAAGAAGATTTGCTGGTTGGAGAGTATATCTCCACGGGTGGTTAGGCAGTAGTTGATTTATTTAAATGACCCAAATTCCCTTTCGATGTGGTGTTCCTAACACTTCTTGCGCTTCATTCGCTTCCTCGTATCCATCATCCATGAAAGTCTTCGAACTTTTCACGTGTGGCTGGAGATTGACTTTTGCTTGGAGATTGTTGCCTTGTTTTAATTAATATCGTCGAATGTTGGGCAATTCGATTCTCCCTCACGTCTCGGGATAGCTGTGCTTTGCGCTTAGACAAGTCTCGTACCAATTTCTCGACCTTGAAGGGATGAAAGGCATGGTGAACCCGATGATGGGTCGAACAAACACTGTGCCCCTGTTGAGCGGTTTCGTTGCCATTTCGCTACCCACCCCTCGATAGTTGGCAAAACATAGATATAGTAGTTCACTGTCTCTGGCTGTTCACAGATAGTTCCTTTTGTAGGAAATTAAGTTTGTTAGCAAATTCATGAACGAGACACGAATGTGCCAATGTGTTCCGGTGAGAAAAACAAGTGGACAAGGTAAACTTAATGGACCTTTAAGACCTTATATGAGAATTTATACGAATCTGACAAATCTACCACTTCCTTTTTATCGATTGAATTACTTCATATATTGCAATATCCGTCAATGCTGTGCATTGAAATACGATAGAGAGCAATTAAAACCAAAGTGAAAACGGGGCGAACCCGCCGAAACGTTAGTCGAACAGAGATTTTATAACAACCACGTGTAAACTGAACACTCTAAAAACTATTGATTGGTCGGAAAAGTAGTTAAAATTAAAGGCTTTCCACGTAAGAAAGACTCTTGATGAGGAGAAAATTCTTATGTGGAGGACTAGTCAGTAATTGAGGGAGATTAGTGAAGTGAAATGCGAAAAGGTTGACGTCTGGTGTGGTGAGTGTCACAAAATGGCGACGTGGATCTGGTCTAATCCGCAATCCGAACACAATATGTGAGCCATCTGCACGACATGGCCGCGCCGTCCCTTCTTCAGCCATAAACGATGGCCGTAAAACGAACCATTTCGGCGACCAGCTACAGCGCATGTGGGCGAATAGATAGACTGACTCTGAGCACATCCACAACGATAACGTTCTTTCCTTCTCTAACCTGTGGTCGACATAACTATCAGCTTACAGGGTTTTTTTCGCGTGAAAAGTACTTTCCTATGAAAAAAAACAGCACTTAAGAGCATCGGGACACATCCACAATAAACAATGGCCGAAAAATTGGGCGACTTGAGAAATGATTGCAATCAGAGACGCACAAAGTATGAATGGCAAAGCACGAAACTACTGCTTACCCGATGAGCATACGCGAAGTTGTTATCACAGTATTTATTTCACAAGAGCGAATGTTTCCGTGGTTTCACCTGTTTCAAAATCTGGAAAGGTCTGATCGATAGGCAATCCACTCAACCGAACACTTTCATAACCTCAGCAGAAAAACCTCAAAAGCCGAATTTCAATCGTACTGAAAACGGATGGCTAACAGATTTTGGTGATCAGCGTCGAGGATGATGGGAAGTCGGTCGTGAGAATGCAAGCATAAAGCATTCGGCGTTGCTCATTCCTTTAGATATGCACCATGCCTCCGACTCCTAACACCTACGCGACGACCCCTAATTTTCAGCTGTTATCGACCTGCTGGTTTCTTGACAATTTCGGTAACCGGAGTAAATAGAAGACTTCAGGAGTTTAGAACCTCACAGAATAATAGAAAAAACTTTGCTGTATCGGTCTAGGAACACGTTATGGTTTGTATGATTCCACTTACAATGTTGTTGTGGCACATCATATAAACACGTTGCTGTCAGCATTTGGAACTGCTTTACAGCTTGCATTGAGTCTACTTTTGTCATATTCTCCTGCTCAATACGATAACTATGGTTCATTATAACGATTGGAACTGAAATAACAGCCACTTGTTAGCAGAATTACAGGTTAATGAACTCGTTCCAGAAAAGTTTTTCCATATTTCTAAGTACAGAATAGGGCTTTACCCAGCCGATGCCCATCAAACATCAGTGTTGGATGAGCTATCGATTGATTACAAAAAGTTTAGGAAAAGGGTTCTGTGCATCAAAAAAAGTCAGAAAAAATAATCCCCATAGAGGCCACATCGCCCACAATATTCCCTTAGAAATGATTCCTGTAGAGGTCGGTCGATAAATGTCAAGCACAGTTGAAGTGAAACAGTGTACATTTAGCATCTAAAATGGATTTCGGTGCCCTAACTGCAAGTCAGTGTTTTTATCCCCTCAGACCAATCCGGCACCAGTCAATCCGTTCGATCTTCGAACGAAATAGGACTTGCTTGACCAAAAGTATGGTACTGAACCAAAGACCAAGCGTGTATTACAAAGCATCTCTAACCACTGTGCTCCCATGCATTTTCTCAGAAACATGTAGAAATGGGAAAAAGTTGGACTAGTAGTTTAGTTGCACCATAATGAGGCTTTAAAATTCTACACGTTTTTCTGACGCTTCGAATATTTTGTAGCATGTATGAAAACAACAGAATAAAAAATAGGGAATAAAATTCTGTATTAGGGCAAAGTAAAGACTAAAGATGAAAGAACCATACCAGGATCCACCACCGCCTTAGTAACAAAGTCGCATGGTGGTAAATCTCCCTCTGATCTACAAGGGCTGCGACTGCCTGTGGTGGTGAAGACCCGGGGCAGACTTTGGCCAAGCTGATTTCGGTACTCCAAGGAATCACAACAGCTAACTCTGAGAAATGGAAATTTCGCTGGCTCCGCACAATTAGTGAGGACGGGCCATCCAAGTTTCCAATCATATACACAAATATGTATATATATATTTATAACGGATGCTTGGAATAGAGATAGACATTACAGGGTAGTGAGTCGTGCTGGGTTAGCCTGTCATTGACGGTTTTCTCCCACTTTTCATGCTGATTTTTCTCAAGACCACAACTATATATGACAATATCTAATCAATCGATAAATTTCATACCAAAAATTTGGCGGGAACGAAAAATAATTCTCCAGAAAACTCCCTTAGATGATTTAGCGGCTAAAGGGTTATAAGAATGGCATGATTAGCTTATAGAAACACTTTAAAATAATTTCGCGCCTTATGGCGCCAGCAAATCTTTCGGCTTGGCGTGCTGCCAATCGGACGAGATCAACGATGTCAGTCCTTTAAAAAAAATCGGCCGTTTTTCTCCTTCACTCATTTTTTTTGTGCTTGCGTTCTTTACAAATCTTACGACATCTCTGCTCACTGTAATGTTAGTCAACCATTTACTATTTAAGTCTCGCATTCTCTATGATGTGTGGCGCATTGGTCGAAAGCACCCTACAATACACATGTGATCGATTCCCGCGCCCTTGGCACACCAAGCCTTCCAACCCTCCGGAGTCGGCAAATTGTTACCGAACTTTTCTGGGAGGATTTCAACACTGGCTCGATGCATCGGTAAGCCACCGCGAGTCATTGTTAAGGCCAGATATGCATTCAATCACCTCCAACGATCTTACGAATGGAGTCGGCATGCATGGGGCATCCCTAAGGGATTGATCAACACCAAGAGCTTTATCCTTTGTTACCCTCTGTAAAATAATTGCTTGTTACGAAATGTCACAGAACTCCACATTAGTTGACTCTAATTACATCTTTCTAGAACTTCGATCATGGCCAAAGATAACAAAGGGAATACGACAGTTGAGGTAAGGACTAACAATCTGTGGTCCTAAAATATTAGGAATCTTGTGTTTGGATTGCTTCATTAAGGAGTTGATTGCTAAGCTCCGTCACTGTGCCAAGGGACTGTCAGCAATCATTTCGGAGCGTGACCAAATGTTCGAGAACTTCGGACATCTTGTGAAAACTCGTGAAGTTCTCAACAATCAATACAGTTGGTCCCATCGCATTTCAACAAAATTTATATCTTTTAATATGTAGTCTTCTTAACTCACAGCATTATTATCATGCTCATACTATGTGATTATTACTAGTTTCTAGGACAGCTGTTGGAGAATGGTGAAGTGCTGCCACCTGATGTGATGGTGTCCAAGGCAGAACTTATGGACACACAAGTCACCTCTGCGGTATGCTTCTACACTATGGCTCGTGAGAGGGACTTGATGTTTGTTCGTATGATAATGGCCATGGCGAATCCGGTAAGTGTTTATCGCTCGCTTCGATGAATTACTTGAACACTTGGATGGCCCGTCTTTACTGGTTGTGCGGGCCCCATCATAATTCCCATTGTTTCCGAGTATTGCCGGTCTAGTGAGTGTGGTTCCCTGGAGTTCCGAGGTCAATCAGACTAAAGACTGCTCCAAGTTGTCACCACCAGAGGGAGCTACCGTCCTTGTGGATCAGAGAGAGATTTTTCACCATGCGACTAGTTTGATAACAAGACAGTGGTGGATCCTGGTGTTGGTTTATTTTGGCTTTTTTTCTTCCTAAAGGAAACCCAGGACTCCTTCTGAGCTTGGTAGGCCCTGCCAAGTGGATGAATCCACCGCTGTACATCGGAGCTGGACATCCAGGAACACCTCCTAGCCACGATGAGGCGGTAAACCGTTGGGAGGCGATGAATTACATTTGCAGGAAGGTACATCTGCACCGCCATGCTATTCAGTTGCCTAGTTGACTTGGTTACGTAGTAATACATGAAATACTACCTATCTGATGTATCTGTGAAACGGCCCACATCAGTTTTGATATTCTTGTTAAACTATCGGTATGAACACTTGCGCTATTTAAACAATGAATCTTTGGTGAGCTGTCGAAGTAGTAAGCTTCTGCGATTCTTGAAACTCAGGCGTCATGACTAGTACTGCCACACATTGTTCTTCGTTGCAGAGTAAGATGTTTTTTGGAAACTATTCACAAGATGCCATACCGAGTACAAGCGCTTGTGACGAAAACCGCTTGGATTCTAACAACAATTGGAATGTAGGGGAAGTAACGACATCACTGGTCATTGTGGTATAAATGTCTTTTGAGTCAAGACAAATGTAAGGTTTAAGAAATATTTTCAGGTGCATGACAACGTACAGAATATCCTTTTTACCAGAGGTGAGTCCATTTCACGGAATTTTTGTACATTCAAACCTTAGTTTTTTTTACAAGATGCCATTCCGAGTACAAGCGGCTGTGACGAAATACACTTGGATTCATACAAAAACTGGAATGGAAAGGAGGTAATGACATCATCGGAAACAGTGGTATGTCTTTTGAGTCAAAACAAAGGTAAAGTTTAAGAAATGTTTCGAGGTGCATGACGACGAACATAATATCCTTTTACCAGAGGTGAGCCCACTTCACGGGATTTATGTACATTCAAACTTGTCATAGTTTTTAGTCGATAGCGATAGTGTACCGTTGTAATTTGACTATCTGCTTGCTATTTTCAACGTCGTATTTCCAACTGCTATTGCTCACCTAACATTCTTTCTTACTTGGATATTTGGATGGCTCGTCTTCACTGGTTGTGCGAGCCCCAGCGTAGTTTTTACTTTTTGGAGTTTTGCTGGTTTAGCCATGGTGTTTCTCTGGAGTCCAGCTGTCATCCTAACCAAAGCTTGCCTTAAGTCGTCACCACCGGAGGCAATGGCCGCCCTTGTTAATCAGAGAGAGATTTGCCGCCGTGCAACTAGTTTGATACCAGGACGGTGGTGGATCCTGGTAGTGGTTTCCTGTTAGCTGAACTTCTTGATGAAAACGCTGGATTCTTTCTTAGCTTGGGAGACCCCGCCGAGGGTTGGATCCGCCGCTGAACATCGCAGCTCGGCACCCAGGAACACCTAGCCACGATGACGCGGTGAACCGTTGGGACGACCATTCTTTCTATTACCTTTTAAAGCGAATGACGTGAAATTCATTTTGATAAATCAGTCGGTTCAGAACAAATTGTTCTCTTTCAATGAATCAAAGTAGGTGTGAAGAAGCGGTAAGAAAAGGTGGCTAGAAAATATGTGAAGAAGACAATGAATAACGGATGCATATAAGGTAGGATTAATATCCATTCTCTTATGTTATTGTCAGTGTTTCCCAGTTTAGCTAAATGACCTCGCTGTTTTTTAAAGGAGGGAATTTTCCCTGAATCTCCAATTGGATTGTGATCATATTTTTTAAGAAGTCGCTTTAGACGTCAGTACCATCATCACCTCGTAACTAAGTTGGTTGCACTAATTACAGTAGAGCCGTCTTCACATAGTGCAAAATGGACAAATCACACTGATTTCAACGCGTACGGATCGAGAATGACTCCTGGATTCGACATTGAACCAACGCATCTCAATTCGCAGTCTATTTTATAGATTCAAATGAAGACGGCTAAGATCTGTAGATCTTTATCAACAAAACATTATTTTCCTTATCACGCAAAGACAACATACCGATTTTCTTAGCTCTCCACATTCACACGACGCATGGGCTCCAACATTTATTTCAGTTGTCGTGGTGTTGTAAGCACCATCTAGTTGAAATTATTGGCTCTGCATATGAGTTCCTCTACGACCTATGATCTGGCTTCTTTTTCGCTTCTCGTTAGTATTTCAAGGGCTACTTGAGTGTGAGTTTCCGTAGAATCCTCGGTTAACTGTTCTCGAGTTTCTTTAGATCTTTACCACAAGTGGTGGCTGGGCCTTAATATAGGTTGACCGATTGACCGATATAGTTTGGGTAGAAAACTCTTTCGTGACTCTAGTTTGCCTCATAATTTTCATCGTGATTATTGTGTTTAATCAGTACGTTCACCACCTTGTATTTTCTTCCGAGTTCTCGCCTCAGTTCTGTTCACATTGGGTCGACATGAAGACAGATAGGATTACTGGAATAACTCTGCTTATGTTGACAAACCGAGTGCTAAACGCCGAAGTGCCGTACCTGAATAGTGGACGAGCTTTCCTCTACAATCTCAAGGATGCCGATATATGAGCAAAACTTGGGACCAATGCGTTCTACGAGCACGTGATTATTCCTAACGTGAGCTCATATGCTTTCAAAACAAGCAAAACTGTAAGAAAGCTTTGATAAAAACAGAGTGAATACACCCCAGTGAGCACTCAGAATTCGCCTACCGTATCACAGCAAGGAGCTGAAGCATCCTCTAAAGAGAACCTCTTTGAATAAAAATTAATGTATAAATGAATGAATTAATAAATGAATGAATGAATGAGCGGATTAGTGACAGGAATGGGTAGACCTTCTGCTATCGATGGACATTGCCGACGCAAACATGCCCTTTGGCGAAAAGGAACTGAAGGACCCAATCATACAACATAGGCATCATAAGCGTTTAATACCATTAAGCACTCTTTAACGGCTAAGAGATATAACGACGACTAATAATAGACGTTATTCGGCGTAAAAAAGATTAAAGCGACAACACCAAAACAATGACAGGACGTACGGTAGAGTATCGTTGAGAAATAATAGGATGCTGGATGGGAGGAAAATAATAAAATTTTATGCGTCGACTGTAAATTTGATATTTTCAGTACCGTTTAATTATTAACAAACGTTTCCAGATCAATAGAGGATGCGACAATAACAAACCGTGAACGTAAAGTACAGTGAAATGTCGTCGGAAAAAAACCGGAGAGTCGTGCACCCTACTCATAATTTTCGTTATGAAAGATATTTTTTACTAGAATTTGTTTAATTGCGGAATTTTTATTAGCGTTGTAGATAGAAAACTAGCAGAGAGAAAGGCAAAACGAAAGACCGGCATGGTGCGGTGGTGAACGTGTTAGCCCCCGTAAAGGGTAATAACGTGTTCGATTCCCACCGTAAGCACATGCCGTCCAGAGTTTTGCGAATGTGTCATCATCATTGTGATTGATTTCTCACAGTACGCTGCCGTGAAAATTGTAGTAGGCAGTAAACAAAAAAGTTCGCACTGTGATTTTTTTTGTTTGTTTTTTCTTTGCATGTTTGTGTTCTACAAACTCCGACTATCCTCTAACCAGTTGCCGTACAATACCTTGGATAAGTTCGAAAAAAAAAAACAGGAGAAGGAGATGAATATTGTGAAGAAGAAAAAATAGATTTGAGAGAAGAATATGAAATTGGGAAGCTAATCGTAGAATGGGATTGGTTTTCATTTTAGTTGGCGATGTTGTAGATGTGAATTCGATGGTATACGGTAGAAAGGAACAGAGACTTTGATTTTTTTCACCAAGCACATTTTTCCCACGTTCTTTACAGAATTATGAATGTGTAACTTAGAACTAGACGATCTATTCCAAAAAACTTTAGTTAAATATACTATAATATACATTATACTTCCACGTGATTTCTGTGCGGTTGGTCTCTACGTGACATACTTAGTGGAAACCTCATAGAAAGCGGCTCTGAAGAAGGCGAAATCCGCCGAAACGTCAGCTTAATCGTGAACAAAGAATAGTAACACCTAGCGTTTGCTCAACAAAAATACGAAGAAAATCACTTTAGTTAAATATCTTGGAAACACCAACTAGCAAATTTCCCTAATGACTTTTAACTTTCTTTATATGAACTAAACCAACTAGGTATATCGTTTTAGGCCTAAGGAGATCTCAGAATCAGAAGCTTCTGCCAGTGACATCTCCAACAAAGTAATACTTCCAGCTGTTTCACGCACATATCGATTGACATGCTTATATCTTTTTTCAGTGGGTGTAGACGTCCTCGTTCAGATTTTTCATGGTCGTTTTACAAACGAAAAAACCATATCGACATTAAGATCTCATTTCGTCGGTCATAAATGAGCGTGTAGATTTGCTGAGAAAGGAAATGGGATACATACTGTAATGAGAGTCGGTTCGGATTCTCATTGCAAGCCGAATAAGGATGAGAGAGAAGGGAGCTGTGTAAACACTACGAAATGAACGTCACCATTGTATAGCAGCAAACCATCCAACCACGGCGAACAATTTTGTAACTATACACGATAAGAACCCTAGAGAAGGATCGCTTCGAAACGGTATAACTCAATAATTCAGACCTTCTCACTAAAAACATGATAAGTTCTGCGTTTAGTGCAGTGTTGAGATCTGCTCTGCAATATACACTTCGCCGTTGGTTCGCTCCCGCCCATCGACAAACAAAGCCTTCCGTTTTGGACTTCGGTACATTGATATAGAACTTGTCCATAATGACAAAAATATTGCCGTGATACATTTATAGGTCACGCACCTATTTTAGAGACCAAATATATATTCATTCACCTCTACGATACTACGAATCGAGTCATATACATGGCTCATTCCTCTGAGGCTGATCATCTCTAGACATTTTATCCTTTATTCTGTAAGGTTCGTGTGGTGTTCTCTTTTCAACAAAAGATTTCACCTTAGCTACGAGGGTCACCAGCCTTCCCCTTCGAGATTTCTGAGATCAACCATCACAAACAAGTTAAAGGATAGAGCACTTGGCGCTAATTGGTCCCTGAGGAACAAGCCATGCTTTCGATTTCACTAAGTAACTTTAGAAGTGAATGAATGCATATCTGACCCACATAATGACTTGCACTGGCCTACTAGTGCATTAAGTCAGTGCTTTTAACCTTTCAGACAAGTTTGGTATAAATCTACCGACCTCAGAGGTATGGAAAGCTTCAGTGGATGACGAACAAACGACCACGTGTGTAAACTGGAGCATTTCTACTCACTGCGCTACGCGGCGTCTACTAGAAATATTTTTCCAACTTTTGTATGTGCCCATGAATGGTAAAATATGGCCATTGAGCTCATTTTCCAGTATCAACTGAGCAATTCGTTAGCTCTATCTACTTAGCAAATGTCAGATGGTTGCAAGGTAAAAAGGACAAAAATCAATGATTGTACTTACTGGATACTTGAATGGCCCGTCCTCACTGGTTGTGCGGGTCCCAGCATAATCTCTATTTGTCGGAGATTTGATGGTTATGCCATTATGGCTCCCTGGAGTCCCGAGGTCAGCCTGGCCAAAGTCTACCCCAGGTCTTCACCACGACGGGCAGCCGCAATCCTTGTGGATCAGAGAAAGATTTGCTTTCATGTGACTTTGATACCAAGACGGTTGTGGATCCTTGTATTGGTTTACTCTTAGCTAGGCTTCCTAATGGAAGCGCCGGGCTCCTTCTCAGTTTGGGAGACCCAGTCAGGCGATGAATCCCCGCTGTACATCGCAGTCTGACACCCAGGAACACCTCCCGACTAATAATTATTCAACTTAAAAAG